CCCCAAAACCCCAAAACCCCAAAACCCCTGTAAATAACCTCAAGTTTGAATTACAAAATTAATTTAAAATAAAAATGGAAGCAAAGTTAGAAGATTTTGAGAAGAAAATATTTGAAGAAGAACAAAAGCAGATCAGTGAGGTCCATCATACCTTCATTGAAGACATTTTGGACGATGAGGAAGTTGCTAGTACTCAATTCGGTAACAGATATATTTTGACTGTAAGTGCTAATATGGTCGGAATTTTGCTTGAGAGATTGGAGAACAGAGTTAATAGGAATATAGGCTGAGTCTAAATATCCTACTAATATTTCATTACCGAAAGATTTTGGTCTGATGTTGTTCTGAAGACGCAGGTCTAAGAAAGTTCGATACTTGAGAAAATTACTGGAGTGCTTTCGAATGGGAGGGATTGAGCAAATGCATTGTTCTTGAGAAAATATGGGTGTCATAGATAAAAACTTTAGGTTTTTAAGATTTGCACTTCACAATATTCCTCATTCTTTGAAACTTTTTCAAATAAGAGGTAAGACAAACTATTAGGTCCATTATTATACTTTAGATTTCTTTATCAAACAAAAACTCCTTATCAAAATCTTCATCAGCTGCTCCCACTGCAAGACTATCAGATTCTTCAAATGAACAATCGATTGCCAAAATCCCTTGACCCCAACCCTGTTCAGGTAAGGTTTCACCCATCTACCTTTCTTAAGCGCACTGTTTATAGCTCAAAAGCGAAGTTTAAGTCAGAGCTGGAAGAGATATCGTTCCTTTGTTGTGAAGGGACCAGTGAAGATGGAAGGTTAGGAGGGGTTATAGGGAGGTTTGTTAAGGGATTGGGGAGAGCAGGTTTTGGGGGGAAGTTGAAGAGAGTGGTGCTTGATAAAGGTGGTGAGGTGGAGGAGGTGGAAGGAGTGAGGGTTGTTTATGAGTAAGGGAAGGGAGTGGTGTAAGGTCTTGTGGAAGGGGAGTTTGTATGTACCCGTCTCTCACATCTATCTTTGAAGATAATAGCTTCCTATTATATTAATAAGAATAACTCAATTAAATACACATAATCTGGGGTTTTGGGGTTTTGGGGTTTTGGGG